CACAGATCCATGAGCTACAACGCAAGCAGACATCTCTTCCCTACTCCCCTCCCCTCCAGCCCGTTTTCTTCTGGCCTCCAGAGAACATCATCTGAATCAGCCTGGCAGGAGCAGGATCAGCTGCTTTGTGCCAGCCCCCTCCATCGCTTCTGGAGTCAGACAGCTCCCACTGCTCAAGGCTTTTTACTAAACTTGAATGCAGGAGGATGTCCAAGTGCTTTATGAATATCTGGAGAAAACAAATGCAGTAGTCAAGGCATCGGTATCTGTTAATCACTTAAGGAGGGAGGAGGAAGAATTTGAGAGGATAGAACCTCAGAAACGGGGTGGGCAGAACAGCCCAAGCCAATATTAATGTTGCAGAGAAAAAAAAAAAAAAAGGAAAAACCACGGGAGACAAAAAAAAAATCAGTTTCTCGCAGAATATTGCTTCTGCCCTGGCTTTCGTCCTCTGTTGAACTTCTGGACTTGTAAAAACATTTTATACATACATATGTGCATACGTGTAGATGTTCCCCAAATATATCTAAGTCCTTTCTTTAATGCTTCACCAACACTCATGCCTGAGGACAAAGCATGCGTTTAGGGCACAAGTATTTACAGATCCAAAATTTTGAGACAATTCCACCACTAAAAAAAAAAAAAAAATCAAGCCTAAAGAGGGGTTCTCTTGGTCAAAAAACACTTCTGGTCAGAAAGCCACGTTTTTTGAAACATCGCTGAAATAGTCAGGTGTGTATTGGTGCAGACGCAGGAAGGACGAAGAGAGAGCGTTTATCCTCGCTTTTAGCTGAAGGGCAACAGCAGTGCACTTGCAAATCCCGCCGTGTTCTGCGCTGTCTGTAAGAGCTCGGTATCTGGGCTGCAGGCAGAGCGCGTCAGCCCGGTAGCTCGGGAAAGGCCCGGCCCCGGGCACGGGGGGGATCCCAGTCGGTGCTCGCCCCTCGGCCGGGCAGAGCCAAGGGCAGGTTCTCCACCACAGGGCCTTTAACGGCACGGACGAACCCCTCCGTCCCC